AATTTGAAACCTTAGCTAATAAGCTACCATGCTTTGACAAGTAAATCTGCATCATACATTGTAAATTGGGCTAGACTGCTGAATCCAGGGTCAATTTTGAAGACACAGTATCTGTCAAGATACCGGCTAGTTGTCTCGGCAGTCAAATAATAAAATTATATAAGTCCCACTGCAGAGGCGGTGTGCCACCAAGCCACCAAAGTATATTATATACATGTTATTTGTCCGATGAGCCAATGAGTCGGTGGCTCAACAGATATCAGAGACTATAGAATACCCGTCCACATAAAACAGTTATCAAATGACTGCAACCGCGGTCCACGGTGCCGTGGTGATTGCTATGATTCATGGGTAGATTCTTCCCTTAGATTTGTGAGAACGAGAAATACATGACGGGTATAAAATTGTCCCTGGATTCTGTAGTCGCTCCATAAATTGTTGATAGTATATTAACAATTGCTCCTAAAATAATTCTGCCAACTTGAAGGTTGCGTTTATATTTCATATCTTTCAGGTATAAATCAAGCACTGTGGTTTATGCACGGTGTCAGTCTAAACTAAATATCTATAAGCTTCACGTACCTTATGGATTCTTCATCGCTCTCTAAATGTTCATTGTCCTCCTTCTTATTTGGAGGTTTGGGTTTATTGCTTGGTGCTTTCTTGAATCCATTGGTTATCTGATTAATAAAAAATAACAGCTTTGAATGATTATCTACATTAATCTATTAATGTTTGGTTTCGGTCAAGAGAGAAGAATATAATAGTTCACCACGTGCACATACTGTACATCAACAACAACATATCGGCATAACTACCACGGTTTACGCGATAACWCTGCCTTTTGATACTTCAKTTAACCTTATTATCTTAAAAACTGAAAAAGTTACCTTTCCTGCTTTCGCAGGACGCTTTCTGGAATCAGTTTTCTTCTTTTCGCTGAGAAAGAAGCCCGACATTTTGAAATTTATCACGTTTGGCCGAAACGGAATGAGTTCTAGCCAAAATCCGCTGGCATCATTTGATAACGGGCGCAAAATCAATACAGGAATCTTTTAGCAGTTTTAGGTTAGAGCGTTCACTCGTGTTACAGGCGTCGTTCCAGGCAATTTAAGGCTATATGAACAAGTATGAATTTGTTGAAAAATATGGAAAAGGAATTCATTAATTGTTTCATTTGTCTTACGAGACGTAAGAGCAATATAGACCAACATCCGTAATACCCACACGTTCACTCAAGGAAACAAATCAGATTTAAATTATCTTTTTGAATATAAGAAATCGGAAGGTTTCGCCATTTCACAAGTTAAACGTCACAGTTTTGCAAACGGCTCATTTACAATTGGGATCGACTCCGTAAACAGAAAGAGTAAGTGACAAAGTTTTATCATATTTACTTCTGACTTTTTTCCTTTTATAACTTTTCAAAAGCTATATAGTTTCGCGATCAGATCAGCTTTCTTGAAAGACACCCTATAGCCTTTGCGATTTGCACTTTCAGCTGCGTTTCCTGTGCACTTCAATTACGCCGCACCCTCCTAGTACAGTACAGCGGTATTTTCGCGCGTTCTTATGACGTCATAATCGTTAATCAAATCACTCGCGTGTTATATTTGATAGAGTAAGGAGGTAAGTTTGCGTCTGTTTCGACATAAAATAGTTATTCAGCGATGGAAAACGTTTGCAAGAATTTTGTCAATAACCGTGAATACAAACTTGACTTTATTTTATTTTTCAGCTTTGTAACTTACACTATACGATTCGCAAATACTTTTGACTAACGAACAATGGCTTCCGTTGGAGGAAAAAAGCATGTTAAAAGTAAGTACCAATTTTGATTGAAAAATCGGACAAGACCACGTGATTACATATTTTAAAACCGCTTCTTTGATTATTTTTCAGCCAATGACGTTGGACGACGACACAGTCCAAAATCGGTAAGTAAAACTACGATATTCAGAAGTAGACCTTTTTTAGATAATAGAACCAATTCGCTCAAAAGCAGATAATCACTGTTTAAATTTTCAATCAAAATTATTGATTTTTTGAGATAATACACATCAAATAATTAAGAGAATATGTTGACCTTTACAATGAAAACCACAAAGCATTTTATGGTATCCGAGGAAAAAGTTTGCAAAGGTCGGGTGTC